TCAGTGACCAGTGGACTGAAAAATATTTGGCCTTGTTTACAGAAATTTTTGCGTAATATTCTGGTATCATCCAAAACCGAATGATTACATCGTTGTGGCCCTATACTAGTGGTGTGGGGAAGAAAAATTTTCCCAGTAAGAACTTCCAGCAGTGTACCTAATTGTTCATTTTGCCTCAATGGAAAGACAGCCAGAGGTATAAATCTACATTGCTTCATGGGCAGTAGCTAACAGTTTAGATGGATAATGAGGGACTTAGAAGAAACATGACTAGAAAATTAGTGACAGGAAAATCTGGGGAAGAGGTAAATGGATAGACCTTCCTAAATGGGCCCATATGAATGCTCATCAAAGCTCAATCTCAGCTGATAAGAATTTTAATAATGGACAAGAGGACACATTCTGCAGACCTCTATCAGATTTTTCTTTCCAGTTTCTTCTGTTCTTGACCAATGAGCTCATGAACAAAATAGCCGTGATGGTAGACATGGAGGGTATGCATGAATTCGGCAACACGAACTTCTACTCACAAGGCATGAAAGGACAGTATTTTGTTCTTGCTCCATAGAAACTTACTCTTCATAGGGATTTGTCTTCCCTGCCTGTAATACCTTTGCCAAAATCAGTATCTGTGGACTTAAAGAATTCTTACGTCTTATTTCCCTTCATGTTATTCCACGATGCTTTGCTTTTGACCAAGCAACTTACTTTGCAACAAATGAAGAATAAGAGATTCATGCTTATGGAATTCATTAGTCTTAACTTGTTATCCATCACTCTAAAGCAATAGATAGGTGGAATTCTTCTTTTAACTATTTACTGTGCTAGATGGTTGGAAACACTTTGCAGGGCTAGAATAATGTCCTGAAAGATGCAGTAAATTCTCTAAACGATCAATCAAGGCATGTTGCTGTTTCTCTCTTATCCAGATTTCATAGATTCAGGAATCAAGGGAGAAAAATGGAAAGGGCTCCTCTTACTGTTACCCATAGTGATCCACAGCAAAATTTATTCTTTCTATTCTCAACTTTAGACTCTGCTGGTCTAGAAGTTCTGGTCCCCAAGGGAGAGATGCTTCTACTAGGATATACAGTAATGATTCCATTAAGATAGAAGTTGATACTCCCTGCTGCCGACTTTGGGCTCCTCATGCTAAAGAATCAACAAACAGAATAGGTTATTGGTGTATTGGCTGGGATGACTGGGGAAATGGGATTACTACTACACTATAGAAGTAAGAAAAAGTGTGCCTGGAATTCAAGATCATATCTTATACTCTCAAGTCTTGTAATTACTTTTGTTGCTGTAACGAACAAAGTAAGTGGAAAATAACCCAATACAGGCTCAATTGCAAAAGCTTGGATCCCTCAAAAATGAAAATTGACATCACCCCAGGCAAGAAACCATGACTAGGTGATGTGCTTGCTGAGAACACAAGTATATGGAATGGGTAGTGAAAGAAGGACGTTATAAATACCAGTTATGACCACAAGATCAGTTATAGAAATTAGGATGGTAAGAATTAGGAATACTTATTTTTTGATATAAATATATTTGGTTGTATATTAACCAATTCTTTTTTCTCCCCCATCTACCATCTAATATAAAATGGGGTAATAATAGTCTTTGTATTAGTTCCCTAGGGCTGCTATAACAAAGTACCACAAATTGGGTGGCTTAGAACAACAGAAATTTATTTTACTGCAGTCTGTATGTGAAAAGTCCTAAATCAAGGTGACAGTGGGGTCACTTCCTTTTTAGAGGCTCTGAGGGATAACCTGTCCAATGAGTCTCTTGTAGGCTCTGATGGTTGCTGGTAATCTTTGGTGTTCCTTTGTCCAATCTCTGCCTCCATTGTTACATGACATTCTTTGTGTCTGTGTTCAAATTCCCCTCCTCTTATAAGTACACCAGTCACTGAATTAGAACCCACCTTAATCCAATATAACCTCTTCTTGATTATATCTGCAAGGATCCTATTTCCAAATAAGATCATCTTTACAAGGTCCAGGGGTTAGTACTTCAACATGGCTTTTTGACAGACACAATTCAACCCGTAATATCCTTGTATCTCAGTATATTTATATGACATGACATCGGAGGGAAAGTGGATCTCGGCTAAAAAAGGACTGAATATCATTCCAAAATGGACAAAGCAACCTATGAGGCTAGGTATCCTGTTTTTTTTTGTTTTTTTTTTTTTTTTGGGGGGGGGGGCATCGTCTCACTCTATAGCCCAGGCTGGTGCCATGGTGCCATCTCGGTTCACTGCAACCTCTACCTCCTGGGTTCAAGAGTAGCTGGGATTACAGGCATGTAACACCATGCCTGGCTAATTTTTGTACTTTTGGTAGAGACAGGTTTCACCATGTTGGCCAGGCTGGTCTCGAACTCCTGACCTCAAGTCATCCACCCACCTCAGCCTCCTAAAGTGTTGGGATTACTGGTGTGAGCCACCGCGCCCAGTCGTCTTTTAAGTGTGTTTTCATCTGTAGAACTGAGAGTTGCATCATACTAGATAGAAGCATCATTTTGCTAATGTCTTCATTTGGAAGTTATATTTAGTTAAGAGAAGTGGACATGGATGCCAAGTTGGCAAGGGATGGATTTTGGTAGCATCCTACGGTATCAACTTAGCTAAATCAGGAGCTATATTTTCCAGAATTTCCTCTCCTGATTCACACTGAGTTAAGGTTAGTCTTAAGGGAAATTTGCATGAGGTTGGAAAAGCAGAACTGAAGCAGCAAGCACATGAAGGGGGCACCAAACTCTATGATGGCAAAGCACACATTTTCCCTGATGTGGTGATTTACCTGGACTTAGCGCAGCAGCTGTAGTTGAAGCTCCCAAAGCTCTGTCTTCAGCTTTGCCAAGTCCTATGCTAGGAACATGTTCAGCTCCATGGCAGAGGGCACTAGATCTCTCCGGAAGTCACTCCCATTGAGGTTGGTAAAAGGCTGATATGGGTTCCAGTTTTTCCTCCTAATTCCTATTCTTCTTTGTTCTCCTCTACTTCATGCCCAGCTTTTGTTACTGATGGCTGTGCTGACCCGGAGAGTTCAGCCCATTATCAGACAGATGCAACAGACTCCCATTGACTTATTCAACAGATCTCACACTTGCCTGAGGTCTAATCCCTGGAATAAACCCCTCATTCTATGTCACTGTTTCTGCTTCTTATTAAACCCCAATACATGTACCTTCTATCAACACTGACAAAGGTTGTCACGAAGGAAGAAATCAGGAACCACGGAAAGCACTGGTGTTCATATTCCACCACCTCAAAAAGGTGGGAAGTCTTCTACAGATAGGTGTGATTTGGCGCACTTCTGAATTATGACCCATCCTTCTGGGTGCCAGTGCTAAATAGTCATTTTCTACCACCCTTCATCTGACCTCCATCCATATGCCACAACTGTCTCCAATCAGAGCTTGAAACCAAACAGCAACCTATATTTCGTGAGATTGCATGTTTCATGTTTGGGGAAAAAAGCACAAAATAAAATGTGTTGTGGCCTATTTACAAGAGGCTGTCCCCAAATAAGGTGAAGGCCATCATTGATTGTTCTCTATTTAACTTGGCTCATTGGACTTCTTACCATCAGAATATCTAGCTGAGCAATTTATTAGCATTCTATCTTAGTCAGCTTCTGGAGTGTCATTCAGATCCTAGTTCTTTACTCTGACACAGGTTTTTTTCTTTTCATTTTAGCCTCCCAGTTTCTCCTGTTTCTCATATTACAAAAGGCCGTCTTTCCCCTTTACTGCCAGCACGTGCTTGTGGGGTTGTACACGTTTCTTCTTGCATATTTCCCCTTGTACATGTTTTTTGTCAGCTTCCTTGCCCTACCTGCCCATGATGCCTTTTCTTATCCAGAAGAAACTGGCACAAACTCTTTCAAGAAATGAAAACTCCCTATCCTGGTTCACATGCATTGATTAGAAAAGTATTAACTATTGAAATAAATGTAATATATAAAGCTGAAGCTGCTGTTTTATTCAATCTAACAATGTTTGCTATATTTTTAAAAATTAATTGCAGATTCATTCTACTAAGTAATTAGATTCATTTAGTATAAAACAACCCTTGCTGGATTCTGAGAATGGTTCATGCATTGGTCAGGGACTCGGCTTTCTTGGGGTGACACAATTATTTCCTAGGGCAGCCCGATAGCTCCCAGACAGCTAGTGAGGCCCAGCAACCTGTGGAGTCTGGCTTCTGGAGCTATGGCTTGGTTAATCTGTATTATTTTCATGAAGTGGTTAACATTCCTTATGAAGAAATGGAGGCTAAGTGACTCACAGCAGATTAGTAGAAAAGTCCTGAGTCCCTCTCAGAATCCTTGGTATTCTGGTTGGCAGGATTACTGTTTGCCTCAGGATAGGCTTTTCTCTCAAAGTCATAAATTTCCAAAAACATAAATCACTTCCATGTGGATAAAGATGAGAAATTGTATTGATTTTTCTGTTTTGTTAGAAAGAAAAAAGAGAGGGAAAGTGGGAAAGTGGGAAAGTGGGAAAGGGAAGGGAAGGAAAAGGAGAGGGAAGGGAAGAGGGAGGGAAGAAAAGGAGGGAGGGGAACAAAGAAAAAGCAGAAGGAAAGAAGGAAGGGAGAGAGGGAGGCAATATACCTTACACGCTATCAGAAATTTAATATTTAGACTTAAAATAACAAAAGAAAAAGTCTGATAAATTACCATGTATTTTAAATCACTAATTATATATCAACCTGACTCCTTAAACCAAGGAAATTGTTAGCCTGAAGAATAGAAAGCACAGAGATTTACTTTTTACCTGATTAACACTTTGTATTAAAATAATCCAAAATAGCTGTTAATTCCTGTTAAATTCAGTCTCCACTTTTCTATAAAAGAAAAATTTAAATTATTTTTGGTAGAAAAGCTATTTTTTTAATGTCAAAAATATTTCCTTATAACATTTTCAAGCCAACATACACAAAATTATTTATGTCAAATATTGTCACATAGAATCCAACATGCCAGATTCTTCAACTCTTTTATTCACCCCAGGCAAATTTCAGTTTGCCATAAATCTTCCTTATGGCCAAGTCCCACTAGACTTTTAATTTAATTAAACATTGAAAATATTTGCATTGTGTTTTTCCCATACTCCCAACCCTCCATCAACAGTGAATTGGGAACCCAGCTATGCATTAACCCAGAGTTATAAGGAAGCTGTACATATGTATGGAGCTCAGTTTCAGTTTGCTGGGAAGAGTAGGCAATAGCAATTTGCTGCAATGCATTCCATGGTTAATGTCACCAAAGATGTCAAGTGAGCAAGTGACAATGGGGCAGTTGGGGCGGAAGAGGGGGAGAGGAATAGCAAGATCCCTAAGTGGAAGATTGTCCTAAGTTTTTATCAAATACCCACTAGGGAGATCACTGAATTCTCACCAATCAATCTGGCAGTGATTTGGACACCAAGGCGCAAAGGCAGATGGGATCCCCTTAAGTTCACTTTATGCAAGGCTTCCCCAATGCAAAAGGAATTATATTTGCAGGAGACGATGACAGCATTGTGAGAATAGAAGGGATAGTGACTGGGCAGATCAATACTGGAGCTGTTTCACTTCCTTGCTAATTCTGTTTCACAGTGAGAAAACTGGATATGTTTCCTTCCTCATCTCTCTTTCCCTATATAAAAATCTGTGTTTTATTTCAACTTTTATATGCAAATTACCAGAGCTAAGAAAGGCTTGAACCTGAGTTAAGGTAAAAGAGGGGGGAAAAAAGACACATCCCAAACCAGTTTCATTTATGTAATGAAAATAAATTTTTACACAATCAACAGAAACACACCAAGATTTTTTTTGCGAAAAATATTTTTAAATAAATTTTTCTTTTTTTCTTACATTCTGATATACATATGTAACAAGGTTTATGGCACTGTAACCAGAATCAAATCAGAAAAAAAAAAAAAAAAAAGGAAAAAGGTGGGAAGGAAAGTAATTGATATATTGTTGAATTCCTTTCTATCTCCAACCTGGCAAATTTGCACTATTTGTCTACCATTCAGCTGCCAGCTCTAACTTGTTTGCACACTTAAAACATCATATTATTGCACAAGAAGCCAGTGAAGGCATATGGTATAATGGTCAGTTCCTCACTATTTCAAAAAAAATCTCTTAAACCCAGAGAAGGAAAAAAAAAAAAAAATGCAGAGCATGAAACACACAAAATCAAAGGTATCCTTTGTCTTTTTAAAGAATGCCTGAAGGATTCTTAGACCACTTAAGCTGCCCTGATCTTCTCTTTGCACCAGTGAGCACAACAGGGCTTGGTTTGGTTGGGTTTTTGTTTTCTATGTGGACAGCCCAGGCGGGTCCCAGGCCTTGGTGATTCAATGTCTTTTCTATTTACTTTTGGTTCTTTTTAATTGGTTTAAAGTGTGTAGTATTTTCGGTCTATGAACCTGCACAGACTATTTAGTCATAAACTCTACAAATAGCTTAAAAGGAAAAGGGGGAGCAACAAGTTGTATTATATTTTTATTGTTGGCTTAAAAAAATTACTTCTTTAACCTCCTGAATTTGTCAGTTTGTGGGAGGTGAATCTCAATGGCATCAAAAGTTATAGTCTTCTCACACTTGTTAAAAATAAAGTGTTTAAACAAGTTTGTTTCCATTCACAAACTTTACTCCCAACTAAAAAAAAAAAAAGAAGAAAAAAAAAAACCAGAATCCATCCTCCTTCCTCATTGTCTCCTAACGGAGAGCAGCAATCCTTTCCATCCAGACCATTGTCACACAACCGTCTCCACACCCATCAGCTTTGGTGTTAGGATTCTCGGTGTCACACCGTTGTTTAGGTCTTCCTCAAATTCTAGCAACTGCCCCATGAAGTTAAGGTTTGGGGAGATAATTGGTCGTTTGCCTTTGACAAATTTATAAGCATCAGTCATGGTCATCCGAGTGTGCTTCATCAAGTAAGCGATGACGATGGTGGCAGAGCGGGACACCCCAGCCTGGCAGTGGATGAGAAGCCCCTTCCCACACTGGTGAGCTTCCTCTGAAAAAAGGGAGAAAGACAAGAGATGAAGGGCAGACGGAAGGGAGAGGCACGGAGAGAGAAACTTTTATCTAAATTTTGCAATGCCTTATTTTGTAGAGAAATAATGAATTAAAACTGTTTTAAAGCCAAGTATAATCTACTAGTTCATTATATATATTTATGTCACAACTTCCAGAACTGGCTAAAGTTGATAGCAGCATGAACAAGAAGCTATACATCTACATTTAAAGAGAGGGAACAGTTTGCTTCACAGGTGACAGTGGCCTGAAGCCAGACCTATAACACAGTTAACTTTCACGCTGAACAAGCTACTGATTAAGTCAACTCTAACAGTCATTGAACCTCTCTCTTAAATGTCTTGTTCTCTTATTTTCTGGAATTATACTACTGAAAAAAAAAGAATGAAGGAAAAGGAGAGAGGGAGGGAAAAATTATACCAACACATGAAAATATACACTCACACACACATATATATATATGTATGTGTATGTGTATGTGTGTGTGTGTGTGTATATATATGTTTTTTATATATATATATATATAAAACAGTTCCTCTTTGGATTAAGGATGTTAATTCCAATATTTGGTTGTGTGACTTAACAAACCTAAAGCTAGTAACAACAACTCTCTCACTTGTAATAGAGAAAAAACACTTTCTTTATTCTATAGAATTGCTCTGTACAGGAACGGGAATTAAATGGATAAGAGTTTTAGTCTTACTAAACCCTGATTAAGGTTAAAGGAATAAAGCTAAACTAGAAACATGCTATGTTCAGCTTCTCCCCAGAAAATCCAGTTGTTGCAAAGTTAACTAAAGGCCAGTAGCATACAGGCCCAGGGTGTCACCTCTCAAGCGTTCAACCCCATTTGCATCCACGTATGACATTCCAATGTGGCAATAATGCAGAAGATGGAGGAATCCCAGCAATGGTTCAAAATCCAGAGCAATTGAAAGAGGAAGACTTGCTAAGTTTTCGGATATATTAAAAGCTCAGGACAATAGCGTGTGGGCACTGCCTGAACAGATTCTTAACGACATTTCTAGACTCTAACGCATCTCTAAGCAAGCTTCCTTGAAGGAACACCAATTAGATAAACAGGTAGGGAAGGAGAAGGAGTAGAGAGAATAGCGATTTCACCTAAACTACATCTACTGGCTAGCCACCAGTGGACCAAGGAAAAAAAAAACCTGATATAAATTTTCATCTTAAAAGTTTACAGACGAGGTTTACTTCTCATAGTCAACAGTATTTCAAGAAAAGTAAGCATCTCTCTTTTTCCAACCTTTTCCCTTCAGTGCACAGTATTGAGCTCCAAATCAAGACCAGAAAGCATGGTGATGAGAGAATGAGCTTCCAAGTGCCTGGCTGGACCACTGGTTCCACTACACACACTTGATTCAGGAATAAACAAACTGGCATAAACACTAAACTTAGATGCTGCTTAATTTATATTAGACTCTCAGTGAAAGCTATTATGTTTATAAAACCTGCTGTGTTTTTCCTAACGCAAGACTGTAAGATTTCAGTTTATCCAATAACATAACGATGAAAATAAAATTGCGCCTATGCAGGTTGTGATTTGGAGTTGTTCTTCGGGCTGAATGCTATTTGTTATTGGTCTCGTTTTCCTTTAAAAAAAAAAAAAAGGCAGGTAAGCCTGAGTAATCTATAAGGAATGTGAGAGCTTTGGTTGAAATCCTCTTAGAACAAGTATATCTTACCCTAGTCATTAAATAGAAAACAATTTCCTAACTTCCTCCAACTGGAATTAAGTCAGATGGAATCTCAGTCATAACACCATGTATCAACCAGAAGTCCCTCATCTGCTTGTTGAGAAATTTTTCTTCCTCAGAGTTCCAGGTTTGGCTCAGATTTTATTAATAAAGAATCTGCAGTATCTCTGCATCCTCAGTGTTGCCAGTTGGGAATTACTTAATAGGGCATCAGAAACATCACCTTAGTATGTTGTGAAAAGGCCTCAGGCTTGGGTCAAAAACCCTGGATTCTGGCCCCTTCTTGGACACTAGAATTCTTATGACCTCAGAGAAGTCACTTTCCTTCTCTAAGTTCAGTGATCACCCTGAATTTCCTTTCAGACTCAATATTCCATGGTCCTGTGCTGACGGCATAATTAGCAAGGAAAACAGCTTGGCAACATGGCCGCAGATGTCAACACTACAGCAAATCCGCCAGACCCCAGTGGCTGTTAAACCTAAGGCTGTTTTTTTTCTCTGGCGAAGGAACACCCCACTCCACTTAACTGTATTCTTCCTGGAATAACAACCTGCTGTAATATTTAAGAAAAGTACTAGACCACCCCTTTATGGTGATAAAAGTTGAAGTTACTTAAAAACAAAACAAAACAAAACAAAAACAAATGTTGAGTTTTGCTATATTGCAGGTGTTCCTAAAATGATATTTTGAGTCTTATAGCAGTTTGGGGCTATAGAAGTTGCAGAAATTAGGATTAGGATTAGGCTGATAGTTGCTTCCTTCTGGGGATTAAAGCCTGCTGTTGCTAAAACTTCCTCCTTGGGAACTACTCTGTCTACACAACCTGACCTTTCCTAGTTCAATGAGTTTGGGGCACACTGTCAAAGGAAAGCTAGTACCATCTCCTCTTATGCTCGATGAATAAGGATTAGTAGGGTGACCGGAAGGCATGGGTGTGTTTGGAAGGGGTGTCATATTCACTAGATGTTGCTTCCAAGGTGCTGAAGGGCGCTAGTAGATCCAGTAGCAGTAGCACCAGCTCTGACCTCCAATTCCTTACTTTCCATCCATTTTTCTGGTTATAGAGCACATAAATGCTAACTCCTACCACTATTTCACTGAGAACTTGAGGGATGAGGATTTCTAGTTGAACGGATCCCAACAAATTCAATTACTGCCCTTTTATATCCATCTTGATGGCTTGGATACACTTGACAGGCTATGACTTAGGAGAATGCTTAGGCTGTTTCAGTTAGCAGAGCCCTTCGAAACTCCAGGGCAGCTTTTTTTTTTTTTTTTTTTTTTTTTGCAACATAGGAATAAACCTTGAACTTGATATCAAAGCAAGAGCCGGAGGGAAAAGGAAGGCAGAGGATGAAAATTCCCTATGGGAGACAGTTACCAATGAACTCAAAAGCCTCTTCAAAGTACTGCCGCAGGTTCTGCTTGTTGCTGTCAGTGGCCGGCAGCCGCTTGTAGTTGAACAGGCCTTTCTCATAGTGGTAGAGGGGAAGATGAGTGGTGACGTTGATGACGTAGCCGATGTTCAGCCGCTGCATGGTGTCCAGGTCCTGAGCATCCTGCTCATTGCCAAGGAACAGGAAGGGCAAGATGGGGGTGAGCTCAGCGTTCTCGATGTCAGGGGTGGTGGGGATAGGCTGAGGTAGCAAGCTCGAGGCCGCGGATGCGCCGCCCCCCACCTCCCGGCACTCTTGGAGCTGGAGGGAGTTGTCACAGAGGTTTTCATGGTTCTGCTTAAAACTACTAAGTCCACCTGGAACACAAACACAGAAAGTGAGAGTGACTGAGATTTCAGAGCTGGCAGAAAATGCTACCTCCCCATTAGAATGAGTTTGCATTGTAGCTCAAGCATATTTTAAATACACACATAAATATGTATTTAAACAAAATAAAAATAAAAATAAAACAAAAAATAAAAGTCCATTTAGAGACCCAAGACAAGCTTCGGGGAGTATCACTGCATGGAGCACTTTGGAAATGTGCTCTTTCTACAAATGAGGGCATGTTCCCCTAGAAAGAGTTCCACGCAGCGTCAGGCAATTTCCTCAGCTGCAAATGTGACCTGCCTCAAAGAGCCATATGCTCAGTGGCCTACATAGAACCCTGTGCTTTGGGAGCCAAGAAAGGCACAGATGACCTCCTCGGGTGGAATCTCAGCACCACAGGAGCACGTCTTGCACCCTTCATAGCTCACCTCACCCAGAGGGCCAAGTGTGCTCCCAATACAGCAGAGTGGTTACAAGCAAGAACGTTGGAAGAGACAGGTTACCTTGATTATACTCTGGGTACCATCATTTCCTGACACTATGACTTAAGTTCATTTACCTCTGTGCTTCAGTTCCACCATCTGTAAGCTGAGGGTGATGGCATCTCCCTTTGAGTGCAACTGTGAGCCTCAGATAAATGAGTATGTGTAAAATACTTAACACATCTCCTGGCACACAGTAGAGCTCAGCAAGTAGTCACTATTTTAATTTATATTATTTATATGATTGCCCACAGGTGAAATCAGCAGAGAAGTACTTGGAAAAGACAAGCCAGGGTGGGGTGGGATGGATTGCTCTTATAATCTTTTTTCATATTCTCCATGTAGGTCCCTGACATTTGTCAACCCTGACTTTCAGTAGAACAGAATGTGAGAGCAGCGCAGTTGCTTACTCCTCGACTTTCCAAGGCTTATGGGCACATAAACCCATCAAGAAACCTCTTGTGGAAGTGTGAATGCATACTTTTGAGCTTACGGCTCTGCTCTGCCTCCTAAGAGTTATGCATCTAGCATAAAAAGCTTATAAACTGTGCTTGTTTCTCCATTTTTAAAATGCAAATCTTCCCCTGAACAAGTGCAATCTCATTTTGGGAATGGATCTTAGGGAAATCATCTAACCAAAGACAGTTAGCTAGATACATGGAGATGGTCACTACAATATTATCTGTTTTATATATATTTTTAAAAGGCCAAGTAAAACACAAAAACAAATTAAAAGAAAAAAAAGTTATTACATTCATTCCATGGAGTATTATGTGGCCTTTAAAAGAGTAGTTGCAAAAACGATGTGAAAATAAATAAAATATTTTGGTTTAATATTAAATTTTTAAAAAGCTAAGTAAAAAACATTCAACAAAAGCTGAAGGACTGTACAAAAAATGAACAATTGTTTAAGTTAGGGAATTTATGGATCACAGTTTATTGTTTAAATTTTCTGCTAATATTTTTACACACAATGACATGCACAGATAAACCCAAAGGATTATTACAAAGCTCAAATTATATAATATACATGTAAGTGCTATAAAATCTGGATTGACATTATTAGTGCCAACTGAACTCTAATTCAAATCAAACAGAACTAGATACACTCTGGCTTTCCCTTTGAAAAGAGGGGGAAGTAGAAAACTCCTATTAGCTGAAAGCCACCAGAACACAACATCTACTACCCTCAAAGACAGATGGCTTGTGGCTGTCTTGATAGTTCCAGGAGATAAGGCAGAAAACCCAAAGCATGAACAAGAGACGGTTATGTTGCAATAAGGACAGGAAGTCTATCTGTCCACTAGCCTCTGAGCCTAGCATATGTTCTTCTCCATTTCAAGTCTCATCTTTGACAAACCACAGCGGGAAACTCCAGACCATAACCTAGACCGAGTCTCATGACTTTTCATAACCAATGGAGCCGGAGCTGGCTGCGTAAAAGAGAGAAATCATATTCTCCTTAAGGTATGGTTATGATCCAAAGAAAACTCAAAGGGCAATACAATGTTCACTTTACTCATCGAAAGTAAAAAGTCAAAACCTACCTCAGCTTTTTGAAAAGAAAAACAAGAGCTGTATACAAATTTCAGCTGATTTCTAGAAGTAACCTCTGCCCTTACGTATGACAGTTCATTCTGCTAGGCAGTTATGATAATAAACTTTGAACCTGAAGAGAGAATTCTGAAGTAGAAAGAAAGAAAATATTGAAAATAACTTCACCAGTGAAGACTTAAAAAATAAATAAGATAAAAACTACCCATTGTCATCATCACAGCCTCCACAAAAGGGATTCTGAAGAGTTAAAATCTGCTCAGCTTTGCCTCCACAGAAACCCAAATTCCACACAGATTCTGTGATGGGAACCTAATTCACTTTTTTCTTCAAAGGCGGCAGTTGTTACATTTTTCCATATAAGATGAGAGGAAAGAACAACAAAACAAATTCAAAAGAAGTCTCTAAAAGCAGGGGAAAAACCTCTCTGTTCTTATTTAGGGTACTCAAGCTGTAATTTGTCTTAAAAGCAGCTAGTTTAAAAAAAAATGCTAGAAAACCCCACACACAGAAAAAAGCAGCGTCCAGCTTTTTAAAATTCTGCCTCTACACCTCCTTTCTCAATGACATCAGCTGGAGGCTCCCCACCTGCCCAGTTGCCATAGCAGTTACACAAAGACATACAATGACATCAGTTGGCATGATATCAGCTCTTTGAGTGCAAACAATACAAGAAGAACTACTTTGTTTAAGGCCTTTGGTGCAACTGTGTTCTGGGGAGCCAATGATGTAATGCTAACAGGTGGCATGGCCTTCCATTTGCCTAATGGGGGGAAAAAACCATGGGGAGTGGGGGGAGGAGGGAATTTGAGACAGACATGCAGAATGCTCCAAATCACAGAGCATGCTTATGTGCAAAAGTATGTGTGTATCGTATGTTTAAGCCATGTAGGAACTCTGTTCATATAATATTTGGAGGTGGGAGGGGTGGAGAGAAAAAGGAGATATTACAATTTAAACATATAAGGTAAACAAGGAAATTCTCCTTGAGGGGTCTGAAGAAATAGTCTCCTGTTCAACTGCCAGTATGCTAATCAGCTTGGGCATCAGTTCTCCATAAGGCTTATGCACAGCTACGTATTGCAGTTAAAAACTCTCTCTGTGGACGGTGCTTAAAGTAAAACAAAACAGTGGAAGCTCACAGTGGTGGCTTTTTCCAGAGAAGTCGGCAGGAAGGATTGTTTTCTTCTCTTGGGGAAGGGTTGAAATTGAAAGCTGGAGGGGAGGGGGAAGAGTAAAGCTAATCTGGTTTTTCTTTTCCAGTTACTTTCCCCCGACCCTACCCCATCAAATATCACCAGAGGCCAAAGTGACTGATCACTTAATGAGGAACCTTGATGATGTTATATTTATTACTATTTAAGAATATTAGAACATGATAATTAACAAACAAAGCAGGAGCAGTGTAGTATGGAGGTTAAGAGCAAAGGTCAGAGACAAACACACCTAGCTGCAGTTATGATTCTGCCTCCTAGCGGCTGTGAGACCCTGTGCAGGTCAGGTTCCCTCATTAAGCCTCAGTTTACCAATCTATTAAGTGGATGTAATATCATCTACCCAACAGGGTCATAGTTCAGGAAGGCTATGTAAAGGTTTTGATACACAACCAGGTATTCGATAAATAATGTCTTATTACCCCCAACATTATCACCTTTGTCGTAAATTCCAACTGATCTATGCAAACATCTGGTCCATGAGAGCCCTATGTGCAGTGCAGTCATTCAGCGCAGGGGTACTGAGTCTGGACTTACTGGGTTTGAATCCCCAGCACAGCCAAACACTAGCTATGAGACCCTGGGCAGGTTTCTCACCTGTCTATTCCTCTGTTTCCCTGTATACAAAATAGGGATAATAACAGTACTTACCTCACTGTACTGTTGTAATGATTAAAGTGGTTAATACAGTATTTTAAAACAATGTCCAGCACATTGTAAGTGCTTTTTCTTTCCATCACTTTGGGAAACTACCATTTTAAAGTTCTAAAAAAAAAAAAAAATCTGCTTGCTATAAAGACTCTATATAAGTAAGCTAATGTTCCTGAGTTTTTACTTTTAAAATTTGATTTAACAAAAAAGAATTAGGAACCAAGGTATCTGAGCAGTTTGAAAGTCTGCATAACATCCTTTTAACATAAAGAAAGCAGCAGCTCCCTATTTTTCCTAAACAAATATATCTGATTTTACTTTGTTGGTGCTAGCTTTCCTAATAAAGACTATGTCTTTGCATTTCTGGTTTTTCCACAGGATTGGATTTTGAAAATAAAACCGTTCTTCCCTCTTTCTTCCCTTCCTCTAATTTCTACCAAGGTGGCTAACTTCTCTATGTGCACAAGAGCCTGCAGTTATTAGTGCAAACATATTGTAGCCATGAGCAACAATGCTGGGGTGGGGTGAGGCAGGGCAAGGTGGGGGTGGGCAGCAAACATTTTCAAAGCTTATCTCAAAAGTAGGTTCTCTGCCAAAATGAGTATGGTCAGTACACTGATTCTAAATGGCAGCAACAAAGAATACCTAGCATCCCTAAAGAACTGTATGTGGAAATACTGCCTGCCAGTTTCTGCTAACACAGGCTTAGTTCAGTGACAGTCCTACTGAAGCAATGGATTCTAGTTTTAGTGGGAAACTTCTCTTGACAGATGCATTTCAGCTCCTGTTGCTGTTTTGGCTACTGCAGTCCTGGAAACAGAAGAGTCCTCTGTAATGTGATTCAGAAGCAATGCACGAGGTGGTGAGTTAAAGAAACCACATCCAAATGCAGAATCTATAAGCAAGAGATTTTTATATTCTAAAGGTGGACAGCACTTTCTGGTCTTACGCTAAGCTAGAAAGTGAGTTGTTTCCAGAAATTTAAGGAACACTGTCACTGAAGGTCAGCAAACAGAAGTAATGTCCAAAGACCAGGGCGAGGGGTGTAGGCTAAAATTGGACTCTTCCACAGTTTGCTATAAGCAT